CTGGGAACTTTGGGAAATAACCAGTCAAACATATCAGACCATAATGTTTCAACATACATGCATTGAAAGAATAAATTTTGCTTAATTGTAACATTGGCTGAGTTTGTATGCATGCTGAATTGTGCGGCCATCTTGAACGGACTTTAACTCCCAAAGTCAGTCAGCTGTAGATGTGATTATTTTCTGAAAGTTTCATTAAAATATACAGACGCAGGCAGAAAACATTCTTCATCTGGTTACAATTAGCTAACAGCTGTTTATAATTTATTTAATTGACTTGTTCTTTGGGGCTTTTTTATTTTTATTATTATTTGTTGTTTGTTTCAGATTTCTAAGCCCTAATCACCTATAKGTGTAATGGGCTTAATTTACAAACATTAGCAGCAATAGTTAATTAACTAACTTTATTCATCTGGCCCTAGTCTCAGAACATATTGCTCTCTCATTCATGAAGTGTTTATTTGTATAAGTTATATTGGCCCAATCAGTTCCATAAGAAAGTATGAAGTGTGTAAGTGAGGGACCACATGCTCAGTTTATTTTACCTCCAGTACAGTTGCTATTAACATGTTTAAAACATGAAATACATGAAATAATGAAAATAGATGGGAATGGAGGAAGATAAAACGATTTAAAATAATCCAAAATATAATTAGGAGGATACCTCACACCATTTATTTTGTTTGCATTAGAATAGCCAGTCAGAAGAATAGWGGCCTACAAAGTAAAAATGTTATAAAGCATGTTATATGTAAATGTCACTAGCATAGTTCAGATGTTGCATTATACTTATTTGTTTACCTTTCATGTGTTCTGTTTATTTAAAACTATGAAAGYATGACTTCTTGCTGGTATTTAGTTGCAAAGTAGCGCCATCTTTTGGTATGCTGTACTCATTGCAACATCACTGCGCATGGCACAACCCCACACAGAAGCAACAAATACTTTGCTTTTTCATTTCAGTTAAACAAAAGAAATAATGCATCAGTAGTATTGTTATACCATTCCAAACATTTGCAGTAACAACAATAGGAGAATTTCTAATGTAAGTATTTTAAAATACTGCATCCCTGATGAGAAATAGAAATCACTTTGACAAAAGCAGAACTGAAAACAAATTTCATTATTTATACAGTCTGAGTCTGAGAATTAGTTTATTTTTTATTTTTAAATAGTGCTCATTGATAATTAAAATGGTGAAACAAAAATTCAAGTGCCTCTTACAGTAAAAACTGTAATGAATTATTGAAACAATGAACTCTGGACATCACAAGCTTGTAATTATAATGTTTGTTGTATTAAGTTGTTTAAAACAGGTTTTGAAAAGATTTTTAAAAAGCCATAGCACAAAGAAAGAAAATTAATATTTAGAAAGATTCAGCAAGTATGAGTAATTTAAAACAAGCAAATGTCTCACAAGACACATAAATGGTTATAGAGTATTGAATAAATGTAAAATTAGAGGTCCTATATAAAGGTGAAGGGTTAGTTCCTCTACTATTCATCTTGTTATTTGTAAAGTATTAATTAGTGACTTCACCCTGAATCACCGAAAGGTAACAATTAAAAAACTTTAGTACTCCATTTGAGTAAATAAAACATTTCAACCATAATTTTAAACTTACTGGCTTATTATTAATTTATTTTTGTACTTCATACAGAGCCTGAATCACACACCCCTTTTACTTCTCTCCAGGTGCTAACACCCAGGCTGCAAAGAAGAAAACGAGCTGAAAGTAAGAGGCAGACCAGAGCAAACCCCACACCATCATTAAACCTTGCAGGCACCTAATGATCACTGCCTCAGCATTAATGTGAGTATCATGCCGGGGTAATGTGTCTCTCTGATGTCTAATCATGTCTGTGCTTCACCCGGAGATGAAAAGAGCTGACAGCACATGTGTTCTTCTGATAATACACTTCAATTAAGGGTAGACACAGGGTGAGGACTAATGATGTTTACTCATCGTTTCACCACCTTATCTCAGGATGGTCTCAAAACACTTTCATCTGCATGAGAACTACACAAATATTAGAAGTTCAACGTGGTCTAGTTTCAGTAAACTTTGGCTAATTCTTCTAAATCACCATATTTCATTCATATATGATGCATTCACTATAATAGCTTCAATAGCTTCACATTTGACCTCACTATGAGGGAGATTACATGGATTTACATACAGAGCTAATAGTACATGGTTGCAGTAAATTAGAGCCAGTTTCTCCTTGTTGCAATTTCAAGAACTTGTAAATGCTTCTTAATTTAATTTGGAAGCCTTGTGAGTACCGACTGGCTTCATTCACTTCCTGCGCTGTCATTGCTAAACTAGAGGCAGACTAAATGGCACAGAAAATCGACGTCGTCATTCACAACTCCTCCTTCTGTTTGCTGATTGGCCCGGGTTGAAATTCTACCAGAGAAATCCTTGTTTATGGGAGAAATCCCAGACGGAGCAGAGAAGGGAAACTAAAATTGAGTGGAACTGTGTAGGAAGGCAAGGGCCAGGCTAGATTTATCCCAAAAATGATCCAAAACATTTAAGGTTAAACTAGTTTCAAAGCAAAGACAACTCACTGGCAAACTTTTCTGATTWAAGATGTGGTGTAGTCCTGCATACAGAAAACTTTCACCAAAACAAATCTTAACTCCAATGACTGAACTTTGTCACTTTTACGGAGCCCGCAAGGGGTTATGGGGAGATTTTTTTCTTTTGCGTTCCCATGCAATAATATTGCGTTACCTCGCAATACTTTTGCGTTACCTCACAATACTTTTGTATTACCTTGCAATATATTTGCGTTACCTCGCAATACTTTTGTGTTACCTTGCAAAATTGTTTTGCGTTACCTCGCAAAACTGTTTTGCGTTCCCACGCAAAAGATTGTTTTGTATACGAACTGAATTAAATCAGACTTGTATTTTGAAATATACGGTTACCAAAACAGGATGTGTCGTCACAAGTTCGTGAAATTGACATTGATGTTGCGTGGCTGCACTGTGTTAAAATATCAGCATATGACATACTTCCATGCATGACTGTGTGATATATTTATTCTGAAGCTGAATTAAAGCAGTAGGCTAACTCACTAATGGTGAACATGTGAGTTTGTTAATTAAACGGCAGGCACAACAGTGATAAACTACTTTTGTGAGGGAACGCAAAAGGTATTGTGAGGTAACGCAAAAGTATTTGCGAGGTAACGCAATACTATTGCATGGGAACGCAAAAGAAATGAAATCTCCCATTTCCCCTCGTGGGCTCCGTGCACTTTTCACCATGGCTGGTATTTTGAAGCTTAAACTGAAATGCGATAAGGGAGAATCATGTTTTGGAGTTGGAATCTCTACAGCCGTGTACACCCCAGTCTGTTGTTTGGACCAACACAGATGACACTCTACGCTAAAAAAAAAGTTGGAAAAATTTATATATTTTTTTCATAAATTCATCATATTATAATCCATGTCACTGCATATCAAAAGGCAAAGCATAAGAATGATTAAAAAAATGTGTTCCAAGATCCAGAGTCTGAATCACCATGTGCTCCATTCATGTGGAAATAAGTGCAATTACAGCAGAAAGGCACCATTCAAATGTCATTTTCTGATGGTGCCATGTTAAAAGCTGATATAACTGCACACCCACAGTAACATTTTCATGACGCAAGCACAAAAAATTACAGCACAGTTACCCAATCCATATGTGGTAAAAATAACCGTGAGCTCAAGTTGGTCAAAAGAAGTTTAGTATTAGACTCTAGTATTGACAAGATTTATAGTTTTAGTTGCATTCACTGAAATTGTCAGTGTTGTATAAAGTACCACAAAATGATACTTGAGTACAAGTCCAAGTATCTTATCATAAAATTACTTTGGTAGAAGTTAAAGTCTCCTTTAAGAATATTACTTGAGTAAAAGTCTTAAAGTATCTGATTTATTTTGTACTTAAGAATCAAAAGTAAATTTCTGACAAAAAGTATACTTAAGTATTAAAAGTAAAAGTATTGAGTAAAAATGAGAGGTTACATTTTCCAAATACATTTTTTTAAAGGCATGCAGCTGTGATGGATTGTGTACAAACTAACGTGTCAGAATGGTATATATTTATACTTCTCATCCAACCACAATTAAATTCAAAGGCACAGTTTATCAGGATRTGATTATTTTTACAATAATGAGCTGGGATGAAAGAAGATTAGAAATAAGATAAGAGTAGAAGACTTTCTACMTCTTACCTTTTTTAAAAATGTAGGGAGTAGAAAGTACAGATAATTGTGTAAAAATGTAAGGAGTAGAAGTACAAAATAGACAGAAAAAAATTACTCAAGAAAAAATAGCAAAATTTTCAACTTAAGTACAGTAACAAAGTTTTTGGACTTAGCTACGCAATTGTGTTACTTTATGTTGCATGCAACATTATTGTACCTTGGCCACATTAAACTTATCTTGCAGGTAGCAATTTTTGGCAGGTGTTATTTCGTGGTCTCATGGTAACTTTTTTACTATCAGACTTTTTGACCTTTTTCCCCTCYGACTAACAAGCTCAGGTTTCCTGCCATTGCTGTGTAATTTCTCCTCACCTTGAAGTTGCTGTCGGTGCTCCTGCCAGAGCTGAGAAATTCTTCGCTTTCCCTCATGTCATTTCCTGAACTCAACAGCACATATCATGAAGGGGATGAAAGGTCATGGGAGGATTTGGAGTGAAAAGGTGGAATTAGAATCCAAAATGACAATGTTCCAATTTTAATGGCCTATTTAAACTTTTTTTTTCAATAAGCATGTACAAAAAGTAAGGAAATTTGTATTTGGTAGGTTATTTATTTGTTGTAACAATACTTCTTGGGATTAAATCATATACTGTTGTTTAATTCCTTTTTAAGTGGTGCCACATTTGTAGAGAACTTCCATTTGTGAGATGAGCAGTAGAGCTGAGTATGTGGGTTGCACATATGAAAATATTGTCAAATCTTCTCTCGAAAACAGCTTATTTTGTTGTGACACTTACTTTGACCTTCTGGTTACCCCTAGGTGCTGCCAATCAGGTGCCAATAAGGTTTTGCAAGTATATTTTATCCCAACCTGTAGTTTCGCTGAACAGATGTTCATAGTTTTGATACTTGTTATATTATACCAAACCTATGTATTACCTCCGCCAAGGGCGAGGTAATGTTTTCGGTCGCATATGTCTGTCTGTCTGTCTGTCTGTCATTCTGTTGTTCTGTCTGTGGACAACATTACTCAAAAACTTGTGGACGGACTGTCATGACATTTTTCCACATGTGGGTACTGGGCCAAGGAACACACCTTTAAATTTTGGTGATGTTCCGGATCACGATACGGATACAGGAATTTTTTTTTCTTTTAACACTCTGAGATTTCAAAGCTGTGATGCTTTCACAGGGTTTCTGTAAAAAACAGTGAGCTGGATTGGACAGCACGGACTTCAAACTTTATAAAAGTAATGTTAAAACCASATTTAATGATGAATAATTTTTGCCATAATATGTACATTTACAGAACGTTTTGTGACCAGGAAATGCGTGACTGCACCATGGAACCTATTTTTCCCATTTCCTCAAAAACACCACATTTCCCAAACAACCAATCAAAACAGTTTCTCACTTCTAAGCTTGTAAACAGAGAGCTGCTGGGCCTCAAAGTTTGGAGATGGGGGAGCCAGGAAGCACTTTATAAAGAGTCAAACCATTACAAACTCATACAAGGGGATAAAACAGATGTTTTACATGGTGAAATGTGACTGATGAAAACTTAGGAGCTTGATCTGACACCAGTTTGACGATGAATAACGTTGGGTGACGAGTCTGGCTTTTCTTTTTTTTTTCACATAGGTCTCCACCGAGAAGAAATTCCATGCATACATGTTCGCTACGTCAGAACTTATTCGGCAAATGTGTTTCCATCTCTGCTTTTGCGCATTAACTCTCACAGGATGGGGGAAATTGGTCTTGGCGGGGGGTTGCACTCTCCGAGTGCTTCTAATTACTATTATATTTCATATCATTCTGCCAACTGTTTTATTTACAATGAATTGATTTAGAAGGTAAAACTGCTGAAATGTTCTCARTGTAAGTAGATATGGACAAACCAACATGTCCTTACCTTTTATAGTCAAACCAAAAAAATGGTTGTTTTTGTATTTTTGACTTGAACCTAATATGATGGCAGAATATTAGTTTAGCTTTTCATAATGTGGTCAAAATCAGACTAATAGTTTAGCCTAGATACATGTCTCCAATCTTTATTAATGTCAGAGGCACAAAAACTATTTCAATCATGCCGGCGAGGCATAGAAGTGTCCTTTACGTTTAGTGAATAAAATAAGTTGCTAATCACTAAAACGCCTTAATGACTGCATTTGTGGAGTATGGAAACATTTATTCCCAGTGTGAGAAATCAAATTAAGGGATGCTCGTTTCTGACAAAGATGAGAGGGTTACAACTACATTTGTGGTTTACTTCAAGTGTTAACAGCTACTAGAATAAAATGGACACTAGTATAACACTGATTGGCTCTGTAATGCTTCTAGACTGAGATGATTCTCCTGGAACCACTGAATTGTGTCCACTGTGTGAAATAAATCATTTTAATCTTTAATTTGTTCATATGCTACTCATTAATTCACCAGATTTGGCATGCACTATAAGCTTTTTAGTAAGATGCAGTAGTGCGTTGTTACATTAAGTGCTCATCCATGCTTTAAATGTGTCATCTTCAACATACACTCTTTCAGCATCTCCAGCAATGGGACAAGCCCTGCCTCACCCCACCCCTAAAGGTTTGTGTTCTCAGGAGTT